TACTGAAACATGTTCACTTTATCATTTACGTTATATTGCTGTCTAAATATAAATGATTTTATTTCATTTATTTCTCTTAACATAGGTATCCATATACAATACAATTAAAACAGTAAAACAAACCCAAAAAAGAAAAAATTGGGTCATTAAAACAATAAATGAGAGAGGAAAACCAAAAAGCGAACTGGAATATACTATTAAGTGATTTCTCTTACAAGAAACTATTCAATAAATATAATATATAAATATACCTTTAAAAATCTATAATAAAATATATTTCCTCAATTTAAATTATTTGTATTATTATTGTTATTGTTTCATGTAAAGATAAATTAATATTCAGGCTTGTTATTTCTCACTTGATAAAAAAAATAAACAGTTTTAAAGACTTGTACAAAATAAAATTAAAATTATGAACATGAAGAATATTCCAACAAGTTAATTGGAAAACTCTAAACATCATGGTCAATACAGTTAGCAGGATTACAGATTTTTAAACATTAATACAAATTATTAAAAATAATAAAAACAATGGAAAGATATTATTCTGAAGGTCATTCCAGCACAGTTTTTAATTTATTCATCAAATTGTGTATAAAATTACCTACATTCCAAATCAGTGAAATCTGGCGACATATAAACTAATGCATATTATGTCAGAAGTTGGCAAATTCAGGTCGTGAATGAAAATGGTGCCCTTGCAAAATTGTTGTAACCAAATCCTGCTTTATAGTTAATTTACTCTTCACACCTCCTCCGAAGTAGGACGCTCAGAAGTCAGATGGGTATCAAGAAAATGTGATTGAATGAATTTATCAAATTATTTTAAAAGTAGATCTATTACTTTTTGCAAAAGTATACAAATGTGAATATTATTGTGTAATCTAATTTCTTAAATATTATTCCAAAGATTTCCATGCTCATAATTATAATAAAAGAAACAATAAAATATGTTTATTAAAGATATTAAAAAACCAATGTTAATAAAAAATGAAAAATATATTAAACAAGTAATCTTACAGTTTAGAATGGCTCTAAGTAAATGACATTGAGTGAAATTTATTTTAAAAGATTAAAAATTAATTAGAACAATAATAAGATTAAATGAAGAAAGAAAAGAATTTCATCTAGTCTTCAAAACATTGGTTTCAGTGGCAGATCCTGGAATTTGAAATAGAGAGGGCACAGGGAGGGACTTTCCCAGGGGCTGAGGTAAGAAAATTAAGATCATGGCACTTCCAGAATGGCACTTTCCAACTTACATTTACAATTCTCCCTTTTTCTACATTTTTTCAATAATTTTCCCCCTCCTCACCCTTGAATCTGCCACGGCATTGGTTTTATATATCGCATAATGTCATGCGCCTCGACATTCACATCACACCCCCTTTTTATTCTGTATACTGAGGAACCAGTTTGGGCAAGGCACTACCTACAGTTATCACCACTCAGAGTACAAGTGGTTACCTGGTAGTTCCAGGCATTAATGCAAGGATTCCCAGGGAGCTAGCAGGGGCAGATTTAGGGGGGTGGGGGTGCCCCAGCCCCCCCCCCCTTTGGGAGGTAAAAAAAAGGAAAAAAAAGAATGAAAAAAGAGAGAAAAAGAAAAAAATGATAGCCCAGAATGCCTCAAATGTTATGTTCGGGCGTCTAGAACTATTATATAACATTTTTATTGGTATTTTGTAAATGCTGTGTTGGAAGTTATACAATAGCTTTCTTTAGTTGATTGTTGTATTCAAACTAAGGGTATGTTCAGACTCACGGAATAAGAGTAGCGTCTGTCTCTTATACACATCTAGATGTGTATAAGAGACAGTTTTCCGACAAACATAATTACACAAGTTAGTGCATATGAAGCATTGAACTGAAGATGTGTATAAGAGACAGGTGTAGAGTTATATAACTTTATGTTGTTAAAATGTGATTTGTCCTTATTAATAACAAATACAAATAGGTTACATAATCATAATTACATAAGCATCAAAGCATTATTTTCCATTATGTATACATTAGGCAATAAATGTTGAATCAATTGCTAATATCACAGGCTTATCAAAATTGATGCATTTGCCTACGCTTGATAATATATGTTTTTGACACTTGCAAAGGTTAACAAACTTATTAATTATAAAAATAGAAAGTTGCGGGAATTAGCAAGGCATTGATCTCACGCTTAGTATCGTAACATTCTTGCTATATGTATAATGATATCCCACAGTGCTTAGCTTGGTTTCTATTCAGCTCATTCAAATCATGCAACTGTAAAACAAGAATTTTGCTTTTGCTGATAACTTGAATTACGGGTATTTTTGATATTTAATTTTGTCTCCATAATTTTACATTGTCCTTTTTTCAACAGTTATATATTTTGATGAAAGTCTATTGTGTTATTGTTGATAATGTTTTGAAAATAGATTATTTTAATATGTTAATTTAAAATATTACATCCAATTGAATTGCTACAGATAATGGGAATTTTACTCCAAACGTCAATTTAAATACCGTTTAAAGCATTGCAGAAAAATGAAAAATCTGTGTCAATCCTACAAATTCAATATCCTGAATTCAGCTGGGCAGCATTCCTTGCCTCCAAATGTAATTATTCTTTGCTCTATATTCTGTGATTGGACAAAATGTAGCCTTACATGCCCAGCAGTGATACTGCCTCTTTAATAGATTGATTGTTCTTATTTTTTTTAAATATTCATAAGGTTTAATGTACCTGTATTAAGGGTCTCTATTATGTTCATTACTGAAAATTACTGGAAAGAAATCACTTGCATCTGCTTGAGTGTGATAGTAGTTATCAGGGGCGAATCCAGAGGTGTCCGAAAGGGAGGCCAAAAGTGGGGCCAACCGAGACAACAATACCCTAGCTAGGGGGTCCAGCGTTCCCCCCCGCAATTTTTTTGTTTTCTAGACGCCTGAAAATAACCTCCGAAGTGTTGGGCGATCAATAATTTCTTTTTCTTTCTTTCTTGCTTTTTTCTTTGTTTTTTAACTTTCCAAAAGGAGAGGGGGGTGCAAACGGCCAGCCTGGCCCCCTTCTAAACCATGACCATGATATGGTGTTGCTTGGGATTGAAGTACTATTGGTTCGAGAAAGGTAGGTAGGACTATCAATTGAGTTGGGGCTATGAGAATGTATGACAGATCAGGAAGTTGTCAGTTTAAGTGTGATGGAAGGGGGCTTGGAAGAGAATGTGTTTGGTTTGGAGCTGGGGTATATCGTAAGCGTAGTGAGATGTGGTAGGTTTAAGAATTTATTATATATATATATATATATATATACATATTCATTCTGGTAAATGCAAATCAATATAAAAAACATTATACTGTAGTAACAAAATATCAGCAATTCACAAACGTAAGAGTGAAGGTGAGCCAGGGAGCAGCAAAAGCGAAACTGTTGTCACCTTAAAGACGTGCTGCTCCCAGAAAATATTTGAAATGAATGAAAGAAAAAACTAGCATTTCTTTCCGATCATACAAAAATCTGCATAGACATTATATATTTTCAGCCAATAAGTGGGGGTATCTGTATATATTATGTTATAACTGAGTAATAAAAATATGAAAGTAGTTTGGCCATAGTGTGGCTAGTGCGGTTCCAACGGCTCCGTGTCTGGCTCTACATATAGTCTACAACCACAGGTCGACAAAAAACATACCAATTAATTTACATGAATAAAAAGCTAAATTTAGTGTTGACAGGAAGATATAAAGATCATGATTTTATCCATAGAAAACACACATTAGACATGAACCGTCTCAGAAAATAAATGCATATTTATATACATAATCTGGGGATTATTTTTTGAAAAATTCCTAGTAGTATTTAGGAAACATTCTTTATAATCACTCCTCATTACGGAAATTCTATCCACATGCATTTCAAAATGTTTTGATACAGCTTGCTCTTGTAAAAAAAACTCCCATCTTTCATCCTTATTCTACGAATTACTGTATTGGAAATTTTCCGACATAAACATAATTACACAAGTTAGTGCATATGAAGCATTGAACTGACAGATGGCGTGTAATTCCGTTTTATATAATATTTAATGAATTCAGAATAACTTGAATTCTGCTTCAGCTGCATGAACTAACTTATGACGTGCATGTTATTAATTATTATTCATTTATTCAATAATATTGTTGTGTAGGCCTTCACATAAGCATACAACGCAATGGCATGTAACTTGCATAACTATTAGACTGGAAAAGTGATGAGGGAGGGAGGTTTATTTTTTTTAATTTTTTAAATCTTTTTTTTTTTTTTAGCTAAAGCCAATTATCACCCTTGGTCTCTGGACAGTTTTGTTTATATTTTTGTCTGCTTTTCTTTTTGACTGTTCATTATGTTGTTCAATCATGTTCAGCATTCGAAACTGCTGACTACAGGAAGGAAGTAAACTGTAATGTACTTTGTTATAAAGCAAGTGTACAATGAACAGCTTATCACAAGTTAAACCATTGCATCGACAAATTAAATCCACGTACAAGACTGCCAAAAAGCGAAACCCATATGTTTGTATCAGGCTGTGGGTGTTATATTCTAATAATACAGTACCGTGCTTTTAGTCTTACATAACAACTGCAACTGCCTTGCACACAATTGGTGACCCCCCTTCATTTCAGGTTAAGCAATTCCGGTCGCAGCCGATTGTGTTTATTCAAAATATTGAATTTGTTTGAACTACTGTAATTACAGAAATTATGGGAACAGGAGATTAATAATAAAATACAAATATTTAATAATAATATAGATTTTAAGAAGCACTTTCAAAACCTAAAGGTCTGTCCACACTATCAAATTTTTATTGACAAAAAAAACTGTTGTATGCCCATGTATAGGCATGATATGCCTATATATGGTCATGATGTGATGTCATCATGACCATATATAGGCATGTTACAAATTTGATAGTCTGGACAGTGCTTTAGGATGCAAAATGCTGGCAAGATGAAACAATGAATAAAACTCAGAATCATCATCAAGAACTTGGGTGTAAATGTCGCCCTTTTCACTTTTTATTGCAATTGCAACTGGAAAAAGCTGCTACATGAATGGCTACAAATTAAACGATTGTAACAGATGTAAAATATCAACTAACATACTGACCATAAATAATGGCCGAGCACATTGGCCAGAATGAACCAATTAAACAATGTAGTGACCAACAATACGACCAATATTGACCATTAGTAGCCTTACAAATAAAGTGGCATTCACACTGAATAACAGACTGACCGAAAAAAACAATTGACAACATGATCATCGCATCTATATATGATGTACAGTAATCACAACACTAATAATACAGTAATAGTAAGTTATTAGCAGATTATACTGGCTAGAATGAACCAATTAAACAATATAGTGGCCAACAATACAACCATTATTGACCAATGTAGTTCTAGTAGACTTACAAGTGGCAATCGCATTGAATAACTGACTGACCAAAAAAAAAACAAAAAACCACTTTTACATGATCTTCGTATTTAAAAAGTGATGTACTGTAGACACAACACTGTCAAACAAAACTACTATATTTGTACATGTACAATAAACTGAAACACTGTTACTACCATCCATCGCTTATGTTTGTTTCAAAGTAAATTGACTGAGAGACTTCCCAATTCAAACCCCCACATAAATCTTGTATATATACCCTGGCAATGAAGAAAGAGAGAAAACAACGATAATATATCTACAACAGGCTATAAACTTTTAAAACAAAACCAGCTTAATAAAATAATTTGATCTGTAAAAAACATTATCGATATACCGCTCACAAAGAGTAAATGTTGAGAAGAAAAATACAATTTCATGATGTAGACCTATTAGAGTATTCTGATAAAACAGAGGGTTCAAAAACAAATAACGTAACACACAACTGGTAAACCAGTGCCTAGTAGTAAGTTAACTTAAGATACTGACTGTGATTAAAAACTTGGAAACATAAAATTCAAATACAGTAAGCATTGAATTGTTCACTTTATCTACTTACAAATGATACAAGATCACAACTCTAAAATTTTCACTTATTTACAGATTTTTGTTTTTAAACTACTGTACTCACCAGCCAATTTAGTGCCCATTTAAAAATGTATTTACTGTATGCATTTACCATTAAAAATGATAAAAAAAAAAAAAAAATTAAAATAAACTTGCTCATTTTGAAGTAACATAAACATTATCAAATGGAACATAGAAATGATTGTAGTAGAGTATTGATAAAATGTTCAATCCTAACTTACCCCATATAATTAAGATAAAACAAATTCATAGTTCTAGTTTAGCGACTTGAGGTTGGAAATGTTTTAATGTTTTTATAATTATCTGGTATAAAATTCAGGGTCCATATTTTATACGCTAATTTCTAAGCACCAGTTGATAAGTTTGATTAATACTTCAAAATGGAAAAGTCAATTTCAAAATATTATAAATTTAATTTGTGAGGAAACTATTCTTTTTTGTAAGCTTCAATAGAAAATCTAATAAAGTAATTATTGTATACAAATTCAAAATAAGATTAAATTTAATTGTGCAAGGTTTTGGTTAGGCACAAACAGCACAGTAATGTACTGTATACAGTATCTTAAAAAGCCAACAGTAAAGTTCAGCTCTAATTTAAGACATAAACATCATTACTATGCCTTAATAAATAAAACAAAATAAAACAAAAATTTCATCAAAAGAATAATAAACATTTAAAATTAACAAATTTTAGCCTAGTTTCCATAAAAATCGCAATAGTATCTGCACTGCACTTGCTACAAGCCTGCATAGCTGACTAGATGCAATTGGGAAGGCTACCCGATTCGAATAACCAATATGCCTCACCAAAAGCTCTCGGCGATGGCATGTAGCGATTTTATGGAACCAGGTACAAGTAAACAACTTCCAACAGAAACACAATCAGGTTACACTGATTAACAGATATTTCACTATTAATCGTAATAACCAGTATAAAGTATGAGTTACATCAACTAACATAAATTAAAGTAAAATATATAAATGCAATGGTTATCATGCACATTTTGGTCCTAAAGCCTAAGCTGGAAGATACTGTACTGTTACATTATTTCTACAATCAAAGCAGATAGCTAGCCTAGGCCTGCATTCCGTGGATGTCATCACAGGCAGCAGCTGTTCCTTATTTTGGCCCTATTCTCACCTACAGGTATGTCTAACTAAGCTATGCTAAACACATCATTTAAACATGTAGCCTAATCTTTATACCCAGCTAGGATAAATACTATAGATGGAATTAAATTCTATAACTAGCAATGTACACTTTTGCGGATTGAATCACAGTAGAGTTAGACTAAATTCTTAAAACATTACAAAACTTTATGCATGCACATTTGTACTGCAGTACATACTGTATTCATACACACCTGTGACTAAAATATACATTTTAATAGCAAAATTAAGATTAATTATAACTTTACAGAAATAATTTAATTTGGTCAAAAAAAAAAAAACTTCCGATCAGAAAGTTAAAAGAACAATTTTTGGTGGTACAGTATTTGGCAAATTTGAAAATTTGCTTTATAATAATCATTTACTTGTAACGTTCTACATATTTGAAACCATCCAATTATTCATTACAATATGGAGGAAGGAGATAGCTGACAAGGACTCTCTCATCCAAAATAAATCTCTATTTAAAATTTAGAAAAAGTGGCACTTGTTTTAGTATAAGGTACAATCAGTGACTAAACACTCATCTTCCTGTTTTCTGACAACAAGTAAAACAAATACATCTACACAACTACAGAAATCGCTAGTGAGAATATGAAAGGCATTAAAATAATACAACCACGATTAATAACATCAGACCAGTTGTTGGTCCATGTCACTCAAACATATCTTGTTCAATAGGTTTTTTAATCCAAATTCCTAGGCCTGCTTCTTCAAAAACTTTCATCAGCTTCTCTTTAGTCGTCAGGTACTCTGTAGCCTGTGACTTTGCATCACAGTACATTCTCAGCTCGGAATCATGATTAACGTAGCTTGGCAGCACACCATACAGACGTTTGAAGAGTCCATACAAAGCATGCTTCGAAAGCCGGGAGAACTGTTCGCTCTCGTCCTTCCCTGTCATGGTGTTGATAACCTCGATGCCTTTGTCCCCCGTTGTCCAGTTGATACTGAAATTGGGCGCTTTTCCAGGCTGCCGGCTTTCTGCATTGCTGATGCCACTTAACATCGGTTTGTTCAACTTGTAGTGAGTCGGGAGCTCATCGACCAGCTTCATGCGCGTGTAGATTGCACGCGATAAGTGCTCAGCATGGTAGAGTGAGCCCAGTATTATGCTGCTCAGGTAAATAGGCTCAACAAAATGAGAGAGTAACGCTCCTTGTACACCTACCACATTCCACCTGAATGAATAAAAGAAATTAATATTTTTGTTAAAATTGAGTGGAGCACTAGCTTGGTGCTAAAACTGCTTGCCTTCAAATTTTGAGGGTCATGAGCTTGAACCCAGGACTCCAGAATACCACGGAACAACTCCAATAGTCTCATGAAGACTAGCTTTATAGCATCCCATCCATTAAGTGGCAAGTTACTCACCGTTGGCTAAGAATGATAGTATAAACACAATAAAGCCAAATGAAGCTAGTGGGTTACCCTAAAATATTAAAGTACCAGTAACATAGGAATTAAGATTTGTGTTAAATCATGTTAAATACAGTAGGTAGTATATAATTTTGAAATTAAGTACAGTAAATGTATTAATCATTAATTATATAAAAGCATCATAAATCACAAAATACAAAAAATATTTATTTTATTTATTTATTTCTGTCTTTTGTGTGATTACACTTCAGTGACGTAATACTGGTATCACAAGAGGATCACAAGTAAAAAGAACAAAAGAACACCAAAATGAAAAAAAAAAAGATATTCAACTTAAAACAAAACTATTTGATTTAAAGAAAAATAATATGTATATAAATATAAAACTACTGCATTTTGATTCAATATTTTGTCTAGAAGAGATCTGAGTAATTAAATAGCGTGAAATTATATATCGTTTAAATGATTTTTAAAAGACTGTATTGAAAGTTTATTAAATATTGTTTTACTTTCATTTGGAAATATGAAAGCGAGAAAAAGTTATTAGAAATGAAAAAACAATAAAACAATAAGATTAAAATCAATAAATAATGGGAAAAAAAAAAAACTAAACCAAATATTTATAAATAGTTCATTTTGCATTAATGTGGTTACAAACTCACTTTAGATAGAATTTTATTCTTTAGAGCAGTTAACACAAAACACCTCATTACTGTCACCTAAATGTTTAGTGACAGTCCTTGACAAGAAATGTTAAAATTGGTTGCATATTTACTAGCATTCCACATCTAACAGCCCAATAGGGGGTGAACAGTTTCTTCTCATATCTGCTGTGACTTGGTCTTCTCATATAAATGTATCCTCTTTAACGCCATGGCTAACATTGCAGGTATTCTACAGTACAGTATCTTATTATCTTATTATAGTATTAATGGGTCCCGTTGGAGTTCCCGGAAGTCGGGAAGGGCTCCATGCTCCCACAAGCAGAAAAGAAACTGTCGGAAAAACTCAAATAAATTCATGATATTGGCATGTTTACAAGAAGCTGCTGAGCTCAGTCCCCGGTTCATTTCCCAGCGCAGCTCTCTTTGTATTTCAGCTGAAAAAAAAAACATATCTTATGGATATCTTATGGTAAAATATAAATTCTACTGACTGACTGACAACTGAAGAATAAGTACAATACTTATCAAGCAGTTACAATAACAAGTTCATTCACAATCACTCACAACAGAGCCAAGCAGAGGGGTGCTGGCTATATTTATTTGATTTTTAAAGGTGTATTTTTAAAAATACTAAAGAAAATGACATTCAATATTTTCCTAAATTCATTTGCTTTAAAGAAACTATACAGTAGCCCTCCTAAAAAAAGTAGTTTTACCAACATTTATCTTTGCTGTGTTTCACTATTTAAATTTAACAATAAAGGAAAGGTAAACACAGAATTCCAATAAGTAATTTAAGAACATTAGAGCCAGCTCCGTTGGTACCATCATCGTTTTATCCGAGACTAGGCCCGACTCCGTCCACTACCACCACCAGCAGGTGGTTAGTCCATGTTCTGCCTAAGACACTAATTAAATTTCTCTTTGCTCTTGGGAATACAGAAGGGCTGCTCCTCTTTTTGGTGACATTCACTTTTTTTTTTTTAAAGTCAGACTCCGGAGGGAAAACCATTTTTGATATGTTGTAGCACTGATTTTTCTAAGACGTTAAAAAGTTGTCTGACGAAAAACTGGAGAACGGTGAATGAGATACAGATTTTTGAATATTTAAAAACTGGGGGAAAAAGGTGTAAAAAGGTTTTAAAAAGGGTGGTTACGCCCTTTTCCCCTACAGTAGTTTTTAAATATTCAAAAATCTGTATTTTCTTATTCACCGTTTCCAAGTTTTTCGTCAGAAAACATTTTTCCGTCTTAGAAAAATCAGTGCTACAACATATAAAATTTTTTTTTCTTCCAGAGCTTGACTTTAAAAACGTAAACATACCTACCCTCGACCACTCCCGTAGCTTATAATCCAGGTAGCCATTGTCTTCAATATTGCTTTTCCATCAGCCTTGTGAGCTATGCCCCCTTGCATGAACTTAAGGCAGTTCTTCATTATGCTTTTCTACACACAATGGTAATACACACACTCAAACTTGTGCGGAGAATGGAATACTACAGCTTTTTTGGCACTTTGTTTGCTGTTTTCTTCTCCTCCATTAACGATAGGTACACGATATTCCACAAATATGCACGTATGCCATTTATAAACTTCCTGACTCGTTTCTACATTCGTGGCACCAAAACGAGAACCGTTAGATTGGTTGACCTTCTGTCAGTAACATTCACCCCATTGCCAAATACAGCATCCTAAAAATTACGTCATGCTTATCAAGGCCAGTGGTCTGCAATCGATTTGACTCGCTCTTTTCCAAGTCTCTAATTCCCATCAAAAAGTTTTTAAACATAAACCGATCGCTGGAGGCGCTCTCCAAAATTTGCTATATTTGATTAACTGATACATAATTAAGTAGATTAACAACTATCAGAATTTTTAAGGATTTTGAAAATATTCAAATTATCCAACTAGGAGTACTTGAAACTGTTTATAACAAATAAACAAAATCTTGTTCATGCAGGATACACTTTGTTACCCCATTGTTTACCTTATGCAAACTCCGCGTGCGAGTACCGCACGGCTATCGGATGTCCAATGTTCTACGTTACGTCAACACAACGTCCACACCATGACAGTCACAGCAGTAATTGTGGGCTGTACTATAGTTCATCGGATGTAAGCCCGCCGCCCCCCCCTACTTTATGCCCAACTTATGTACCAGCCTTTCCTCGGGCAAAAGCCCAGAATATGAGTTTTACAATAATAATAATAAATAATAATAATGCATTTATAATGCGCCATCTATCTAGGTAAACCTATTCCTAGGCGCAAAATCAATCAACAACACAATACAATCTACAGTATTCTCAGAAAAAACATAAAATGTTGGCTTTGATTTAGGTACACAGTGAAAAAAAAAATTGCCATTTGATTAAACAGGAGATTTTCAGGATTAAGTGCAACCCAAAAATTAGAAAAAAACTTTGTGTTGAAGGGGAGTGCGATTATACCAGAGGAAATACAGTATTTTTTAGAATAGATGAAATATCATGTCAATGCAACTGAAATGGTTGGAGGAAATCCACAAAAATGGGAAAATTAGATCCTTTCCACAAAAATAAGTAACCATTTAATTTACCGGTAGTTAAATAGAGGAGAAATATGCGAAGACTGTTAAAAGAAACATTAACAACAATAAAAGAGTACTGTAACTCACCTTGCAAGTTTGTCACTGCATGACATTGTTAATAACCTCTCACCCTGAAGCACGCCATCCCATGTTTGTATTGTTGATGCTGACGACTTAACAGGAATCGTACCTTCCCCGGACTCGATCTTGGTCCGCAGTTGTCCTCTAGCTTTCCGGTTTGGATGTCTATCGCTAGCATCCCCGTCTCCCGTTGCTTCGTGCGGAGAAAAAATGCGGGCATCTCCGCAGGGAGAAGTACTAATATAGAGGTGGAAGCGAATGCCCTCCTTCAGCTTGAAACCATTCCCAGTGTTTTGAAAAATAGATTGTTCACTTGTTTCCTTCTGTTTGTGCAATTCAAGCTGCGCATAAAAGTAGCGTAACAAAGAGCGGCGTGCAACTATTTCCGCATGACAGTCATTCACTGCTAAACCCTTCTCAGACATGTATTCGCCACTTACGCATTTTGTTCCCGTCGTAATGCATAGAATCGTTGAATTATTAAGATCATCGCCAATTGTCATGACAATACCAGCCAAAACTTTACGCTTGGCATACTGCGAAGAAAAATTGTCCGTCAGCTCGCCAAACTTCTGAAGAACAAGCGTGTGGACATGGTCAGCAAGAGCCATCGGGGGGACTTTGTGAGGGTCTTCGCTCTGTATCGGCTGCAAGCCCGGGGGATGGGTGGGCTGGACATCAAAAATTTCAGCCAAAGCTGATTGAGCAGCACGTGCCTTTGCTTGTTTTTTATTTCTACCCGATCCTGAAAATTTTTTTCCATCTAATGAAACACTCATTACAAAGTTCTTTGCATGGCTTTCCCCAGACTCGGAAATGAACTCGTAGGAGAGTCCTGGCCGCATTTCGTTTAAAATCATTATTGGATTTTTCCCACTTGGTTGCTCTGGTGGCGTTGGTTGTGGGCTGGCTATGACCGGGGGTTGATTCACCGTCCCATTGTTTTCTGGAGGATTCACAGGAGTAACAATTGAACTGGCGTCAGCACTTTGAGATTGATTGAGAAACGGATCAACACTATCCGACGTGAAATCGAAGTTGTAAATACGCTGTCCCATTGCCAAATGAGCCTCATTTGGATTAGGAAATTGGATAAATGACCGCAGTGCATTCTCAGCGGCATTTAATTTTGCTTTCTTCTTTGTCGTGCCTTCGCCCTCAAACATCTGGCCATTTACCTCAACGGACATGCAGAATGTAGGCGCATGTACAGGCCCTCTTTGGGTCACCAGCGAGAACTTTAATCCTGGTTTGATTTCGTGTAATTCCATGAGGGCATTTTTCGGTAGAGGTGGGTGCTTCATTTTTTTCTGACGCTTTTTCTTTTTTCGGCCACCAGATGGCGGGCTATTGAGATCCGGCGAATCCTCAGCCATATCTTCGTCGTCATCTTCAGCTTTTCTTTTTATCCCCTTTTCAAATTCCTCATCGGTAGTGGGTTGAATGCCCTCGTTCTGCAGCATAATGTTTACGTTCTCTTTCATTTCAATGTCCGCATCAATATTTTCTGAAAAACCAACAAAAATAAGATAGAGAATAATAATACCCAAACATTTGTCTCCTACCAAATATTTTGTTATAATCATTATACCATTTTTTTGAAATAAAAATTGAAAGTTAAAAAAAAAAAAAAACATTTGTGGGGACGTTTAAATTTTAATGAGGAAAACAGTTCTTGGAGTTCATAGAAACTTTGGCAACGCAGTCCATCGTCACATCACGTTATTTACTGCAAGAACTCTTAATTTTTCTATTTATAAACAAAATTTTATTTTATATTTCTTCTTTTTTTAGAAGCACTAATATTTTAATTTTTCTTAATTCCGCCCTGTAAAATATTTAAAAAATAAATGTTGCTAAATAAGGTAAAAAAGTCTTGTATTTTTTCTTTTCTTGCATTACAATAAGTGAGCCTTTTAGAATAAAACTCTATACATACAGTACTGTACTGTATGCTTGATACAATCTATCAATTTGTGAAATCTGATTTTAGAGAATTATCAATCAAGCTGAAAACAAAAATGCTTGAACACCTTAAAATCTTATGTCATTTTTAGACAAGATGAACATAATGCCAGTACACCTGAGGCATATTGTACAGTAGGTACCATGGCAACAGCGCCAAGTGTGTAAGGAATGCTGTGCACTTCCTTTAACCCCTTCATGCTCTGTTTGATCCTTAATTGGTCTCAATTATCAATCCTGTCTACTTGCGCTGCTAAGCCACTAGAGTAAAGTCTTGATCAAACAGATCAGTCTATAAGGGGAGCTCAACATCCCAAGGTGACACTTTGTGGTTGGGATATATCAAGGCTCTTCCCTATACTCCCACACAACAATACTGTAGGTGACTTCTTAAGTTCTCTGTAAATATGGCCCAAAACAATAATTGAGAACACCAGTATAAACACTCCAATGTAGGCCTACTAACCAACCCTCTGGAAAAAGAGAAATATATGGAGTTATACAAATCCTGAATCCTAATGCACAGTACCTTGAAATACAATAATTAGATAGCTTGATGTTTTGTATCAGTTGTAAAACGATTAGGTACCCAATTTCTCACAGACAAAACAAACACATAACAAGTCCGAAAAAGCTTTTTGTACTGATACCAACACAGAATAACCTGTGAAACTGACAATTCATTGGATGTGAAGTATAACTTTTAAAGTTACATTTACAATAAGAATTAGTCAAAATTATGAGCACTGTTGGAATAGTATTAAATATTTTTGTCACTGAAATAACAATTTTTACAAAATAACATGTTATATTTGTGCTGCATAAAACACAGCAATTGCTCATTTAATACTTTTTTTTTATTAATTATAAACTTTATTTTTAAAATGTTTTTCCTTTCGATATACTCTATATTATAAAAAGAAAGATTAAATAAATGTAGTCTTAATCAACTTACTGTATGATGGTGATAAAATAATAAATTCATAAACAATTTTAAAGGTCACTTTATAGACTAAACGACTTTCGCTTAATCAAATGCCTTACAAGGTCTACAGTATAAGGCAACTGGTTTTGTTTTTGTTGGATGTCTGAATGAATAATTAATTAAATGTATTTTATAAATAAAATAGGTCAAAGTTCATTAGTCAAATTCAAAGCTAAGATAATACTTAATAAGTAGGTCATTCAATACCAAGGTTCATGCACTTCAAAGTATTATTAAACCACGAAAAAAAAATGGTACAATTAATATAAATTATAAATAAAACTACTGTATATTATGTAGTAGCACTAATTTTAATACAACGTTGTACTGTAAAAATTCTGAGACTTGCAGCAAAAAGAATGAATGGATAAAAACGATAATATTTTTAAAATCAAGATCCATCAATCAAAGCAGTTGGCCTAAAATGTCAACAATCAAAAGTAAATTGCTAATAATAGTCAAAGAGTAATCAAACAACTCACACAACAATACAGAACCATGAGGATGCATAAAGTAACATCAGAAGACAACTACCAATAGTAAACAGGCAGGGTCATTAAGGTCAAACGATGATTGTCTTGAAGAAGCAGACAATGTAATGTGTGAGCAAATAGTCTGATTCATGATTACGGCAAAGCTCCAGACATTCAAAAATTATAGTATGAGAATGAGAAAAAACATGTTAAGATATTAAAAAAAGGCAAAACAGTTTGGCATCCCAAGCTACAGTACTACGAACCCAAAATTTATGGTGATTTTGGTTTTTACATGTTTAAAATACTGTAAAAATTTTATTCAAATAAATCAACATGAAGACTTTGGTATAGGGCCTACAGTAGAGGAACTTGCAATCAATGATCAGTACTATCGGCAAGCAAAACGTTTTCTAAAAAATGTGTAGTCTCCTTTAGCATTCTACCCAAGACCCTCTACAAAATGGTACATTCTCTAGGAAAATTAATATTCATAGATAGACAAACAAATGTTTGTGCCTAAAAAAAATAAAGCAAAATAAAAGAAAATAAACTGAAGATTGAGTTAAAACCTAGGCTTACAGTATGTCAAGAAGACATAAATGTGAATAATAGAACAATGCTAAGAAATTTAACAATGCAGTACTGTAGAACCCCTCCCCTTTGGGACATCCCTATTAAGGGGATAACACTATTTAGAGGACAATTTCAGGGCCCATGAAATGAAGGAATGTGTGTCTTTGAATGCTGAGTCACCCATATCATGTTTTTGGGATCAGTAAGGGATAGGGATATTTTCCTTTTTTTTGCTATAGAGTAGTAGAACAATTAAACTTACTGTACTCAGGCATGAGGGAATTTCATAGATTTTCACTTGTCCCTGGACAAGTACCTTTGAAAAATGCACTTGTCCTGAAGACAATTGTACTTGTCCCAATATTATTGCGCAATAATCATAAAAAATAACACAAAAGTAAAGTATTTTTGCTAAGGCTCTACAACACTAATAGGCCTACAGTATATGCATACTGCTTTGATCACGCAAAAATGTTTTTATTTTTTTAATTTGCAAGAATTTCAATAATGTATAATATGGAGAATTTCAATAAAATAACCATTATTAATAGTATTCAATGTATGTAGGAGTATGTTGATCGTTTTCTTATTGCGTGTTTAAAAGCCGTCGTCATGACAACTGCAAGTAAACATTTCTCAGGCATATGGTTGATTCTCACGATACACAAGTGTTTTATGACGGCATTTGGAGAAAGGGGAGGGGGTGGCCATATCGTATGTTTGTACCCGTTTGCAGATCTTAATCAATTCTAATACTAACTTCAAAAAGTTTTTTTTTTTTCCGGAGGATACAAATTTAAATTGCACGGGAAAACATCTAGAAAAATAGATGCGCAGAATAATAAATATTCCCACTATGAATTATCTTATAAGAAAGTATAATACATACTCCAAGTATTGAAATACACACCATCGTGTTGGGATTCAATATTTCGACATTAATTATGACATCATCAGGAATGAAAAATTGTCCATATTAGCAAGCTTATATGCACTAGTACCAAAAGTGTTTAACCAATCAAAACATTACCTCTAGTAGGTGACACAGCAGTGATTTAAACAAAAGATCAAAGCATTCTTACTCTAATGATCAAAGATACCTACAAAAACAAAGAAAGCTCTTTTGAAGCTCTGAGCCCATTGTTAAGCAAAGGGTGTAGTCTACGTATAGCGAAAGCTTCTTTAAACAATAGGATAGACCAGTTTATTTGTTCATTGTTTTGTTATTTGTAATGTGTTGAATTATGCTCAAATAAATTTGAATTGAATTGAATTGAATGAAGGCCTCAATTTTCTGCAAAATATCCGCCGAAATCGGCTCATATATTTTTAATACGGCGACGGAATTCTGGGCCTAATATTTTGTGTGGGAAATATTTTACAGCCTCACACATCCTCATTTCATTTATAGAAAAATAAATAAAATTGCTTACCTCTCCACGAAAGTCAAGTACTGTACTGTACACCTAATATAACTATGAGGATGGGCCGAGGGGACTAATCCCTCTTGAGACGGCAAAAATTTTTGAGACGGGAAAATGATTCATTTATAGGCCCTAACCCCTAAATTTTTAACTCCAGTTTTACAAGATTTGGATTTTATATGCACATTGTCTCAATCACTTAGAAGTGAATGATTTCTTAATTACTTTAACAACTTTAAATCCCAATTTAACTACCCTGTCTAGATTGCCTTCCCCACACACACAAACGAAATAGACTAGGCCTTTTTTGAAGTCGGTCTAATGGCTGCTGTTCATATTCGTACGCGAAAGTAATTACTAGTCTTAAAGTCCAGACATTTCATGTCATCCAACTCAACTAATCAACTAATGGCTGTGCACCCAAAGTCTTTAAATATCTCTGGTATTTATAGACTAGACAGCGCGAATTTATATTGTAAACAGAACCACGTGCAGCAGGCCCAGACGGCTGATGGCTAACAGGTATGACATCGTGTGAAAATGTGTCTGCTGCAGGTTTTACGACAGATCTGGCTAACATTTAACAATTTTAAGAATTTATTTTCAATCTTTACTGCAGAAAATAACAAATTTTATATTGAGTTAGGCCTATATTTTTACTTTAACCGTCCATAAATCGCGGAAGTGTTGGTGACCCAAAGTTGATGCACGCAGTGCGGCGCATAACCATAGCCTAGTCGGTTTTCTGTTTGATATATTAATAAAATATGCTGCGTATTGTCAAGAGGCGGACTTTTTATAAGTACATGGTGAAGTAGCCTATTCTAAAAGTGCTTGTCCACGGACAAGTGGTCCCTAAAATTCTTGTTGTCCGACCGTAAAAAACACTTGTTCCGGGCGTTGGGCAAGTGGGTTGAAGTTCGCTCATGCCTGGTACTAAACAGAATACAACTACCAAAAAAAAAAAAAAAAAGCATACAGTACTTTAATAATGTTATTAAAATTAGTTGAGATTACAGAAAGGACCAAAATATTTACAAAATATTAACTTTTCTATTTACCTCCAAGGCAAGACTCCTAATGA